CCGCCCTGAATCCCTGACCTTGCTTTTGTGAAAGGGAATTACAGTAACAGAATCATCTGGGAAAACAGATGTTAGCTGTACGAGAGACCCCGATTCCCCCGTAAGGAGTGTTTGTGTGTGGTAATACAGTACTCCACAAGGTGCTGGGAGGTGGGGAACTTCACAGGCCGATGAAAGACCCCTTTTGGCTCAGCGTTCGCACTCTCTCATCAGAGAAGAGACGTGGTGGTGGTGAACAGGGCCACATGCACTAGGTTCAAGGCACTTCCATCAAAAATTAAGTTGATGCACTCCAGGAAATGATCTTGCGTCCATTCTGAATAACCCCAATCATCCATACAATGCAGCTCCAAGTGTTGTGCTGCCAAATGTCTAGTGGAGATTTGCTTGGATGTTTTGAAGTGCAACTTATCATGGCAGAATATCAGTGTTATGACTTTTAATCAGAGTTATCAAACTAAGGTGGGACAAGTCGCCATTTGCTGTTTAGAACAACACACTTTGATGTTCCTCAGATAAACATGCTTGAACAATTCAGGCGATTTCATTAATACTGGTGCAGACGTCATTAAAGGCTGCGTTTGAGAGAATACTAGGAACATGCATCGATAGATAACGGGTAAAAGACGAGAGGATCCGTTTTAAAGATAGGAGACCAACAGATCTACATACAGATCAGGAACATTTTCTTTGAGCCAAGCAATGCGATACAAAATCTGTATAAATCAAAGGCTTCTATCTCTCATCTGGGGTCGTGCACTTATGATAGAGAGATGCAAAGGAGGTCAAGGCCAGGTCATGACATTCCTTGCAACTGATTCAAAGCAATGGCTATTAGAAAAGTAAACTCCTCATAAACTTACTGGCTTTACAAAATATATATACTTGCCAATGCCAAATAAATAAATAATCTGATATTTTACGCAAAATTGGGTTATTATTATGCAAGGGCAACATTATAATATATTATCAATATTAAATTTCAAACAGTGTGAAGTCATGTGAGCAACTAGAAACTTTATGGAATTATACCCGATTCTTCACTTAATACTATAACTACAATATTTATGTTCAAATAAATTAAATTAAATGTTGATGTATATATATTTATATGTATATATATGAGTCCATTTTGAACACTGCAAATGTCTTGAGTCCACATTGCGGCTCTACATTTACCAATGTTGGACACACGGTTCCTAGAGTTCCTATTTAGGGCAAATAATGCGTGAAAGCATACCTTGGATTGGGGGTTTCTCCTAAAATGTCTTGACACTGATCGACAAAATTGAGATATTCCGATAAACCCTTTATGTGCTTCCTTAAGGGGTGAGATTCAGGTGGGGCGTACCCCTTTCCTCCCAGCTGTATGGCCCTGATAAACGATGTCACTGTCTGAAAATGCAAAAAGGCAATTAATCAGCATTCACATTAAGCTTAAAAAAAACCCTACATTTGTTCAACTAAACATCTTTTTATTTACATTTTACATCGAAAAAATTAAATCTTTTCTATTCTAAAAGTGCAAGTCATTGCAAATTCACCAAGAAAAGAGATGAGCCGTTGTTGCATGCAGCATGTCTCAGGTCAGTAAAGGCGATGTGCCCCAGAGAGCGTTTAGGGTTGTCCAGGGTGTACACAAGGGCCAGGTCATTCTTACAGTTCACCAGAAGGCCCAAATAAGAACAGAAAACTCTCCTGACGACTCGCTGTATCTGAAAGAAAAATTTAACAACTACTAGGTGGGATGATTTGTATTGTACTAAAACTCATATGTAAAATGAAAGAGTAAATGGTTTGCTTTTTTAACAGGAACAGTTCATACTCTTCCGTTCTTCCTTACTGATGAGTCAGTTAGCGGACTTGGACTCATGTTGTATAGAGGACTGGCTTTTTCCACAACCCCTTAAGCTTAAACAGGCCAGGCTCATAAACTTCATCACCCCCAGTATTACAGTGGCAAACTCTAGCGTCTACTCGCACATAAATCAGCGTCCAACAGAGCAGCTGTGAACAGAACTGGGCAAGAGTAGCAGTAGTTTCAACACACTATACAAAGTGCTTTTAAAACATCCTGTTCTCACTTCTGAATGATATGATATTCACGTTCTTTTGAATAAGAGACATCCACGGGTGTGAAATTTAACAGGAAACAAAGGGGAGAATGAGAGCCAGGAAAAGAAAACTAGAGAAAGTTCTTGACATCAGCAAAAGAGCCAGAATCAACATTAATTAACCCTTTGTTAAGCTTCGACCTCCTTAGTTGCTGTTAAGGTGCAATATTTTAAAAAATGTTCCATAGGATACTGAGGTGGATTATTAAGTGCCAATTAATTGTTCATATTTGTCTTTTTTGAAGGTTATTGGACAATATATCATCTAGGTACGTTTCAAAGGAGGTCAGCCATTTCAAAAGTGTGTGTGTGCACATATATATTTATATCCATTTAATTTTCTTGTGGAAATTTCTTGGTATTATGAGTAAGATCCCCAAAAAAAATAAAATAAATAAAATAAGTCCTTCTCTAGTTACCTGTGGACTACAGATTCCAGCCTTGTTAGAAGGAGTTGCAGGACACACAGGAAAAGATTCATTTTTTCCCAAACTCTCCTTTTCACCAATGAGAAACTGAAACAGTTGCATCTAGATATCAAGATAAGAACACAGATTAAAGATCTTTCAGAAAGACGACTGAAAGAACATCTAAATCTATGGCCCACTGGCAGCACTCACCGCAGTTAGGGGCTCCTCAGGGTCCTCATTTAGCCGAAGCTCCTTGAACATAATGAAGACGTCAATCAAGTCCACAGTATTTGTACGTTTCAAAAAGCAGTCATACTCTTTTTGAATGAGGTCATAGTTTTGTGGAAGAGGGATATCATTGTGGGATAGCTGGAGCTTATCCAAAAGGAAGTATTTCCAGGCAGCCAAGACTTCACTCAAAGCAACACCAAAGTCCCCACACTCCTGTCAGGAGAAGAGCAAACACAGGGACAAGCATATTACGCACAACCGATCCACAGAAAATGTACAGATATGGAACAAAATGCATGATTCAATCTTGTGACTGCTTTTTTCCCTCTTCTATTGCATTTGCTACATGTGTAAAACTGAATTTCAGTGTCACAGGATTCTCATAAATTCTTCTAATCTGGAAATTTGCAGATCAAGAAAGATTTCTTTATTATCGACAGTTGTGCTGCTTAAAGGGGTAATTATTATAATGTTATTAATTACTTACATGCATGTTAACCTGTAAGACTTCCATTCATCTTTGGAACACAAATGATGATATTTTAATGAAATGTTCAATGTTTTTATGTGAATAAAAGCCTAAATTCAGTCTGTTCATCATATAAAGTGATCGAATCTCTTTAGAAAATTTTGGATTGAACCGCTCAATTCATATGGATTAGTTTTACGATCTCTTTATGAACTTTTTGAAGTGTCAAAGTGGTAGTTGCGTAGCCATCTATGGGGGGACAGAAATCACTCAGATTTTATCAAAAATATCTTAATTTGTGCTCCGAAGATGAAAGAAAGTATCAGAACGACGTGAGGGCTAGTAAATGATGACAGAAGTTTCATTTTGGGTTAACTATCCCTTTAACATTTTTATGGAAACTGATTTTTTTCAGGACTCTTTAATCTTTAGAAAAAAAAGCATAGCATTTATTAAAAATAGAACTTTTTTGTAACATTATAAATATATTTATGGTCACTTTTAAACAATGTAATGTATCCTTTCTGTCTAAAATATTAATTTCTTTATCTTACTGGGCCCGTAGTCAATATGATTTTACAGACCTGCGATACAACCATTCGTGCTTGGTGACTAAAAATCATTAATTACTGACAACAATTAATAACCCAGAGAAGTAATAACTTCTAAAGATGTGAAATAAGTCTATGCAACATTACCTGCTTGTTGACCCCAGCCATAGCAAGTTGTAGGACCATCAGCATCCCATCAGCCCCTTGGATGGTGGTCCTCTCAGAGTCCAACACCCGGTGACACTCTCTCCTGAAAACCCTGGTCAGTGTTCTCAGGCTTTCCTCCATAACCACCATTATTCAATCTTTACAAAATGTACTACGGGATCAGAAAATTGAGCAGGTCAGTAATGAAAGGATTATGAGCAGACAGCATCACATATACGTTAGCTTTCCAACTCTACTCTGAGCTAGTACAGAAAGTCCACATCAACTAGGCAAATCACAATTACACAGTCAGGAACAAGATGCACTTCATATTCCTTTGCACTTTATTAGGAACAGAACCTCCGAACCTCGTTGGTCAACTTACCAACACTGATATTAAGACGCGTCCGATGTCTCTAATGTGAAACATGTGGGAAAACAGCCGCTACGCCAGTAAAAAAGTTAACTTATTACTTTATTTAAACTGGAGCGCTGCCTGTAAATTTAAATACACATAGCAGGACGTCTGAACCAATCACAGAGTGGGATGTCTTGCTGGCCCCGCCCCCGCCAAACAGGAAGTCAAATGAACAACGGAAGTTACGGAACAGTCCCGTTTGTTTTCTTTCAAAACGATATGCAAAATTGCAAATAAACAATACAACTCGGAATATGAGAGCTACATCCATCGTTTCTTTTAAAACATTTTATTTGTAAGTGCAGAGGGCAGGACATTTTCCCTTGGACTATGATTTCATTTCGTCTACACTAGAGAAATCAACAAACACTCCTATAATCATTACTGGCAATAAACTAAAGCATTAATCAGTGCGTTTTACATTTGTTTATGTCGTTTGTGTATTTTATTAAGCATGTCCACAATAATAAGATCAGTAAAACATTTAGAATGTCTAATTTATATTATTTATAAGTTAACAACAAAATATAAATAAAGTTGTGCAGGGGCAAAATTGAAATTTACAATAAACCAAAATAAAGAAGTGCGTTAATACATCTTTTTTCTAATGAGCCAAAAAGAAAAAGAAAGTGGGCTTGCGTCACGATTACGTTACTAACCTGGAAGAAAACAAAAGCGATCACGTGACCAGAAAGCGCGCTGAAAACAATCACAGCATTGCATGCGCGACAGCGCTAACTTATTCGACCAGACGATCATAAAGTTATATCAGGTTTGTATATAGCTTTAATATTTATTTTCATGCGCATGAATAGGATAGACTCGTTACACATCGGTGTGCGGTCTCTTATCTGAAAGAAGTGCAGCTCAACTTCACACAACTTCGACAGTGAAAACAAGTGTACGGAGAGCGTAAATAAATTGTAATGTATTCATTATTATTATTACATAACATATATGAGGTACAGCAGAGATTAAGTTGTAGAGTTAATTAATAAAATATATTTGAAGCTATCTATTTTTCATGAGTTTCTACACGGCACACATTTCATCCTATTACTGCACATTATAGATATATTATAACATTTAGTGAACTTTTGTTTACCATTTCTTCCAAATAAAATACATGTTCAATGTTTTTCCATTGTTACTTATCATTTAGAAAGGACAAGTAAATCCTTTTCACCCAAATAACAAAGATTCGTCTGATGGAAGATGCCAGATGAGACAGTTCGCTCTGCAACCTACACAGTGCCCAGCGAGGACTATGTTCATGTTGTGGAGTTCAGTCCATTTGACTGTGGCTCACCTGCGTCACTCCTGGCGTATGGAGGAAACCAGTATGTAGTCGTGGGCACTTGTCGTTTTAAGGTAAGAACAGTCCACCAGATTGATCATTCAGGGCACTCTCTATAATCTATAAACTTCCTGTAGATCTGTAAACCTTACTAAAATCCATCTCCAGCACACCTGTCTGTGATTTGATCATTGGTGAACCATTATAGGTTGAACAAAACACCCTAAATAATATTAAAGATAACTAATCTTTTATACTATCTAGGGTGGATAGAATGCGGATGCAAGGTGGACACAAGCGGTTTTACTGTCCAAAGTAAACACTGCTTAAATGTAATTGTCTATACTGACAACTAACTATAAGTTGCATATCGAATTGAAATGTGATTATTTTATATTAGGAAAAAATATATGGGGGAAAAACTCCGTAGCCCTCAATCGGGTCATGGGGACTTTTACTTAATAAAAAAAGGTTCCCTTCATCTCAGTGGAATAAGATTTTGTGACTTTTCATACATTATCTATCTATACACACACACAAAACGGGGCTTGATTCAGTTGTTCTGACCCCACATTGAAATGAATGGGAAATGTGAAAAAAACTAAATAGATTTTCTGCATGTGTCAAAAAATAAATAAATAAATAAATCTGAATTTTTTTTTAACAGAAATGAAGGCCTAGTACTAGAGCATAAATGCAATGTATCATAACAATATTTCATATGCAAGCTAATGGTGTAGTTGAGGAATTGTGTGGTATATGGATGCAAAAGTACTTTATATCTCCAAAAACACAGCATTAAAGAATAGATGAGAAGTAAACAAAAAAAAAGATATATTATTTGTATGATTAAAAATGTAAATTTTTTGCACTATTACTCAGTCAATTGTTGGGGTCTTATAGACCCCAAAGCCCAGAAGTGTAAACAGGAAACGAAGACCATTTGAAGGTTAAAGCAGCTCTTAGAAGTATTATGCGTTATGTTCATTCATCACACTTGAAATTAAAGGGATAGTTCAACCAAAAATGAAAGTTCTGTCATTAATTACTCGCCCCTCGTGTCGTTCTAAACCCGTAAGAATTTTTTTCATCTTTGGAACACAAATTAAGCTTTCTGTCCCTCCATTGATAGCTACGCAACTACCACTTAGACACAAAAAGTTTGGTCGATGTTTATAATAGCCTAAATTTAATCTGTTTGTCATATAAAGCGATTGAGTCTCTGCAGATAATATATGGATTAGTTTTACGATCTCTTTATGAACTTTTTGAAGTGTCAAAGTGATACGTAGCTGTCAATGGGAACAGAAATTGCTCAGATTTCATCAAAAATATCTTAATTTGTGCTCCGAAGATGAACGAAAGTCTTACGGGTTTACTTTGGAGCGACATGAGGGTGAGTAATTAAGGACAGAATTTTCCTTTTCGGGTGAACTATCCCTTTAAAGGCCAATTCTTATACATGTATGCGAGTTATGGGATATAGTATTGCATACTACATATATTGGCAGAAGAGGTTGTCTAGGAAATGTAGACATTCAGAAATTGCATAATCGCTGCATACTATGCATACTTCCCTTTAATATAGTCGTCAATAAGCAGCGTGTGAAAATAGTATGTCCGAATTTACAGTATTCATAAAACAGTAGGCAAAACGTACGCTTCTAATGATTGGATAGCATTCAAACTATAGACATTCACACAACATAAAATATATTTTTTAACTGTGGCAAAGTAAATGCTTGTTAAAAAAAAAAAATCTAATCAGCGAGTATGCAATTTCAGATTCAGCCAAATTACGTATGCATCCTACAGAAGTAGTATACACATTTTCTACCAGGATGGTGTCTAGCCAACATATCTAGTCCTGTCTGTCATTTAAGTGATGGTGTCTACAGCCTAGTGATTTGTATTTGTGCAGGAGGAAGACACAGAGGTCGAGGGTGTAGAGTTCATCTCTTTGCAAGTATTCAAGCATGGAGTACGCGTGGATGCCATCGCATGGAGCCCCGAAACCCGCCTGGACAAGCTCCCTCCCGTCATCAGGTACGGCTTTGGACGTGTACTGCGTTTTTATGCAGGGGTGAAACCGAATGAGACTGATGGATTATAATGTGACTTTGTGTTTGTAATAGAAGATGTGGAATTATGATGATCTATGGAAGGAGCGCAGGTCTTGATGCCAGGCACCATATAGTTCTTCATCTACAGCCGGGTTCATTCTCTTCATTAGAGCCTCAGACAAAGCATATGATAATTGATTTATTTTACCACACAAATCCTGATGTTATTTTAAATGTTAGATAAATATGCTTTCTCTGTATTGCACTATTGAATTTCGCATCCTAATTGATGTCTGAGTCAATTGCGATATTTGAGAGTTGAGATATTTTACCACACATGCACAAACATACTCAGAATGTTTTTATCACTGAGAGACCCATTTTCCAGGCATCAATTAATTACCAAGATTTGTATGTTCATGTCAAGCAGTGGAAAGTGTCTGTCACAGCTTTAATTTGATCTGGTTTGTATCAAGAATTGAATAAGATGTTGTCAGTCTGACATGTCCTTCCTGGACTTGGGAGTGTTCTGCTCCCGGTGGGGAAGTTTCCTGTAGCTTTAGCAGCATGGGAAGGGCAGAGTTATTTCCTGGCCATGCTGTGGTCAGAGCGGAAGGTGTAGCGTGCTTAACTGTGCGCACTGCCCCTTATTTGGGTTTATTTTCTTCATTGTAGGTGTACCTCTTGGGAACGGAGTACTAGAGATCTTATTAATGTTTCCTGGACGTGTGGGTTGACACAGAGTCAGAGGTTATTGACAGGTTGACTGGTTGCCTGGCTGTACTGCTGGCATGTAAATGATCGGTGTCTTTGTGATGTTACGCCATCTGCGCAACAATCTAGCCAAAGACAACTCGTAAATGAACATGTTGATAGAACTGTGTGATTGTAATTGGACCTTTCATGGCAAGAACTCGTGTGATTCTTATTTGTTTGAGGATGTAAGAAGATTTTGTGTCTGTGTGTGGTATAGTAACATCAAAATGTGCGTGCGATTCTCTAACTGAAAGTGTTTTTCTTGTCAGAGGTGAGTTAGTGTAATTGTGTGAATAATTGCTGCTGCTGATTAGTGGTAGAGCTGTTTTTATTTGGTTTGGTTGGATTTTGAACAGACAAATGGCGTGATGATATTCTGACTTGAGTCGTATGTCTTAAACATTTTTAATCTCTCCGGTGTTTTATCTTCTGAGTGTGGTGGTTTATTACACACCCACATACCCATGATGGTGGCTAAATGCAGTTTTATTGAAAGAAAACAAATGTGCTCCTGTTTCAGGCTTTGCACCACAGCGGCAGACAAAAAAATCAGGCTGTGGACATCCAATCTCCAAAACAACTCCTGCGATGTAAAGGTAGCCCTTTCTTGTTGAAAATTCAATGTATTCGCAATGATTCTGCTGGTGTTCTAAAATTACAATAAAAAAAATAATTCGATTTCATGAGGTCTGAATCAATTCAAATGAAAAATCGATTGAACTATCAATGATCATAATCATTCAAGGTTCACAAATATTGTCAAAAGGCTCGAAAATATAAATATATCAATATCTATAATGTCAAGATGGGTGTGATAATGTACGGAAAAGTTTGTCTTTGTCCTCGGCTGACTTGTTCACTGTTCAATTTTTGGATTTCTTGTGTTGCCTAGTTGATGGAAGGCCACACCAGCTACATCAATCATGTAGTGTTTGAACCTGTAGAAGGAAAGCAAATAGCCTCTGTCAGCGATGACCACACTTGCAGGTTAGTTGCACTTTAGTCCAAGTGTATGAGTGTGAGAAAGTGAAAATATATATGTGTGTGTGCGTGTGTGTGAGTGTGTTCTGTTCTCTGTTAATGATGCAGAAAGTCTTGACCAAATTTCCACACTGAAACCCAACACTAAACACAACATGGCTCACTGTTGGTCTGTGTAAGCGTCAACCGCCACTTGCTTGCACAGTTTTTCTAAGTAATTGGTTAAACGTGGAAATCCAATCAGTAGCCGTGGCTTTTCCTCTCCACGGCCGCAGTTAACGAGCTTCTTGAATGTGGCCCCACCAATCAGCCACTGAGGTAAGTGCGGTTTCCTGGCAGTCAGAGGTAATGTAAGAGAGCACTCCTGGAGTCTCGGGTCTTCCCTTTTGCGTCAGAACCATGTAACTGACACACCTGGATGTTGTAGTGCTGTGGCCTGCCACAACTCAATGGCCCGACTTTAGCCTTCCCAGCTTGCAAACCTTAATGGCTTCAAGGTGGATGAAGACCAAGACGGTAGTTTTCCTTCTAGAGATCCAAATTTCAGTAACTGGATCTTTTATGCAGACCATGCCATGACAGTTTTATGGTATACTTCTTAAAGTTTGGATGGTGGAACTATGCTTTCTTAACATGATGATCAGGTGATGTTGCCATTTCTGTGCCATTGCCTTGTGGATATTACATCCTTTGTTTGATATTAACCTTCATCTTACCCATCAAGCTTGAAGCTCTGCTCTGAATCTTGGTGCACACAGTATGTTAGCACTGACCCATTGCGCTGCGATAATGTTTTCATACACTCATCATAGGGGTGAGGCGTCATTGAGAATAAGAGTGATCTACAGTAGGTCCATCACTCTTCTCGCAGCTGTTTTATTGATTTTGGTGGGGCTTCAGGCTTTGATGAAAGAAGGAATCGCTGATCTTTATCACAGTTGGAGATGAGACGTTTCAGTTTTCAGCTTCGGCAATAATGGGCTTCTTCTCTGCTGGATCCTGGATGTGCTGAAACCCCTTTTGTAATCCCTAAGACTGGCCCAGGGAGAAGCAGCTTATTATTTTGATTAAATAATAACCATTTCTTATGAATAAATCATGGCCCACCCGACAGCACAGTAAGGTGCAAACCACTGCAGTTACCATATATTACTAATCCTGAACTGCCAGCTCAAATGAGAGATTTGATATCATGATTTGAGATTTGGTGTCTCATTGTGGTCATGCTCGTGAGGAAAATGTTACCTATTGTGGCCTCCAAAAACATACCTTAAACATGCCCATCAGAATTTAGAGGCAGCTAGTTGATATATGTTGCTTTGGTCAGAAGGTTTTGTGTCAGATGGTGTGTTTGGTTGGGGAGTAGAGGGGCCACTGAAGGGATCGAAGCAGGAAACATCCGCCGTAAGCCTCAGTCTCCCTCTCCCGTGGAGCCAGAGAAAACAGTGGAGCGCTCCATCTGCAGAAAGATTTAAATTCTGTCACGTTGAGAAAAAATGGGACGCAGGAGGAACAAGCGAGGTGGAACAAGAGAAAGATCAGGTTAATGTTAGAGAAAGAGTGAGCCTTTTCCAGTCAGGCCACACAAACTGTGCTTTTGATACAAATCTGGCTTTTTAGCTAGCATGTTTTTGTATGTGTGACACCTTCCCTGCTGATAATACCAACTTTTCTATTCAGCAGCATATTGGGATCTTTGTCCCCAGCATTGGATGCTAGTATGGATGCACATACAATGTTTCCGCTATAGAGTTTTGCTAAAATGATAACACATAACTTTTCATCTAAGAAGGATACATTTGGTGCTGTCTAAGATTTTTACTGATGCAAGGTACCTTAATGTTACCAGGTACAACAACTTGTTAAGAGACACGTTTGTTTTATCTATACCCCAAAAGGGTTCATATTAGTACCTTAGAATATGTTCCCTAAATGTAGTGCTATGCACTCTTATGCTTAAGCTTACTCGGTTTTGAAACCAATCCATTATGGTCCGTAAAGTGAATCTGGTTACGATGGCTGTTTTCAGGTTAGTTTTGCCCTCCAGGTTCTGTGTGAGGTTTTAAACTTTTCATACCCTTCATGATTGATAAATTATACCAGACCACAAAAACGTCTTATCTTGGCTGCTGAGAGCACCTGAATATAAACAAAACTACTAACACTGTTGTTTTAAACAGGTCAGGTCTGAACTGTTATTCATATCATATTTGACAAGGAATTAGCCACTGACCTGGTCACCACCATAAATGTTTGTTTCAACAGTTCTTAACTCAATTTCAGCATTTCACACCCCTTCCCCATCCTAAAAATCACATCACACGCTCGGCTCAGCTTCCCGGTTGTGCAGTGTGGGAAAACACAGACAAGCCAGACAGACCCTCCCCTTGTTTTCCCTCTCAGATCCTCTGTGACTTCAAACACTTCCATCTCTTTCAACTCGTATTGTACGTGGCTGTTGCGTGTTATGCTGCGTCAGTCGTTGAAGAGCCTTACGCAATAGGAGTAGCACACTGTTTGTGATGCTTCCCACTTTTTTGTCTGCTTAGTGTCTTAATCCTCATTTGGCTTGGTCAGGGTTGTAGAGAGCTGACTTTTTGCTTCCTTGAATACCCTGGCGATTGTCAGGGCTGGCGGTTTTGGTTTTTCGTGCAATTGAACTCTTGCTTGGCGAGGGGTTCTGAGTAAAGGGGTTTTAACCATGTTTGTGTGGTGTGGTCTGAAACCTCACTCAAAGGAGCTTGATCAGAGCAGAGATGACCCAGACTCGGGGAGACAGTTTAGGAGTTCCTGGCAAATGTATTGGGCAGAGCTCAGATGCTTACAAAGACCCCTGTCTGAGAGCTGTTGAGCATGAGGCATGTCCTCCAAGTACCGCCCAGCTGAAGATATCAATCTACCCAACTGCACGGTTGACATTCAGACAGGCTTTGGAGCCTTCATTTGATGAAGACTTCTCAATGACCTCATCAACCAAGCGGTTGTGCGTCTTTCCCATTAATGGAAGGCTTCTTTTTTTCCCCCTCTTTCGCTTTCCCAGAAAACCTCCACAGTTCTAACTCATTTTAGGGAAATTGTGGTTCTCTTCACTCGGGCCCGTGTGATATAGTAAACCCAAGATCTGATCTCCAGTGAAACCATCCAGAATCTGATCTCCAGTCTTCTCCGCCCAAATGATTTATTGCGTCTCCTTGCAGGCCTCTTGCTGTACCTTTACTTGTCCTAGGGTGCTTTCACAAACTTCGAGAAGCAGATTTGGAGTTAAAGTCTCCTGTGCCTGGGAAGAAAAGGCTGAGAGGTATTGGCAGTCCTGCTTCTCAGTGGAGCAGGTCAGCTGCAGAAAAGGGTTCATGCAGTTCAACTGCTTGAGCTAACAACTCCAAGGTCATAGGTTTGATTCCCAAGGAACATGCATACTGATAAAATGTATACCTTGTTTGAAGTGCCCTGAATGATGGTATCACTAATGCCTACTCGTCTATTGAAGTTGTATTCAAACTCTGTAGTCTTATGTCATCCTGTTGTTTTATTTTAGGTTAGCGGTTTATGCTTTGGTTTCGCATTGACGGGAAGCTATTTTTGGCATCTGGCTTTTTTCTGTGTGCCTAATTGAGCTCTTATTAGGATTATGATTTTGCTGCTTTCGATTAGTGTCCTGGTTCTGACAGTTTCTTTTTTTAGTTTGTGTATGCCTTTGAAAGGGTAAGAACACATGAGGACAGGGGTGATGTAATAACCCATAAATGGCCTCAGTCTTTTTTCCTGTTGCTGGCCCATTTCCTTTTGTCTCTGTGAATTTATTGCGCCCCTTATTTGGATTTAGATTGTGAATTTTCTTAACACAACAGACACTACAATTGGGAAAAATTGAAAAAGAACATCATCAAAGTTAAATGTACACATGGCTTGTTTCACTCCCAACTGTACAGTTTTTCCATAGATTTTTATGTTTAAGTACTATCATAAGCTGTAACATAATTCACAAAATGTATCTCTGCATTTTAAGTTGTATTTACCTGAAACTTATATTGTTGCTTTCCTTCCTGAAGAGTGTGGGACCTTGATGGTCATGAAACCACTTCATTCAGACTGCGTTCCCCTGGTGTAAGCGTCTGTTGGCACCCCGAGGACATCTGTAAGGTCAGAAACAAAAGTCTTGTACAGAGCTAATGTGTACTGTCAAATTTGATTTTAAGTCCCAGAATTTCAGTTTGGTTTCAGACTACCAATGTATACCAAATCAAAATACTGTATATCTTTGATTGATACAGTTGATGGTGGCGGAGAAGAAAGGCACTATACGCTTCTATGACCTTGTTACACAACATGCCATTCTGTCTCTGGACAGCGGGCAGATGCCCCTCATGTCAGCTGACTGGTGTCTCACAAACACTATTAAGGTTGGAGCCGTGGTGGCCAATGATTGGGTGATCTGGGACATTACCCGCTCCAGGTAAACACAATTTTGTCTCTGTGGTCAACGTCATCGTTCAAAACTTTTAAAGCAGATTTAAAAAATGTAATGTGGTCAGCATGACCCAGGCATATTGTCTACTATCTCCCCTGTTCTACTTAATTTAGTTTATCTTTCTGAGAATCAAGATTTTAAGTCGGACATCCAAAAACCTGCTCATTTGAATGTCGTTATGGTGATTTAGTGTGGAGGAGTTTCGGATCATGCTGTAATGTAGGAGTGAAGTAAACTGTCTGTAAATGATACCGATGTGTTTTGCCTGTAGTTATCCACTGGAGAAGAGACCAGCTCATGTTGGGAAGGCTAGACATTTCCGGTACATTTTCACTAAATATCAGATCATTCATTATTTGTTGGACTGCATTCATGACTATAATGGTGATGGCCTCTCTTCTACAGATGGTCAAGGGCAAATGAAAATCTTTTCGCCACCACGGGCTATCCAGGAAAAATAAACAGTCAGTTATTGGTGCATCACCTGGGCCATCCACAGGTTTGTAAATTGACGTACTTGTTTGTTTGTGTTACCTACCTACCTACCCCTTATGGTACACAATTGTCATTGCAGCCTGTGATGATTGGTTCAGCGTCTGTGGGGGCTGGTCTGAGCTGGCATAAGACCCTGCCTCTTTGTGTCGTCGGTGGGGACCGAAAGCTGTTCTTCTGGATGACGGAGATGTAACCTGGATGGAAATCAACTGGAGAGTTCTTCTGTTTTGCTTTTTCAATAAATAAAGTCATATTTTTCATGCGCTTTCACTGTACTTACTCCACTGTGTCTTATTTTATAGAACTCAGACTAACAATTGTGGGAAATGAGACACTTTTCTCTCCCCCCAATTTTTTCCCCTTTTTCTGCGAAGCATTGTATCAGAGTTTTTGGTGTGGTGTTCTGCCAAGCTGGCTTAAAGTTGAGCCAAAGGTCGCCAAGCGGCAGGAGCTGGCAGTTTTCATTGCAGAACGATTGAGTGTGAGAAAAAAACTCTGTACAGGTGCTCATATAGACTGTCTCACTGACTCCACCAGGATAATAATCTGCAGTCCCATTCCTTACACTACAGGGGAACTTCCTCCACTCGACCGTGACGCATGTGTGGTGGGGGAGATAGAGCCGCAATGCTATTTGTGCTTCAACAGTTGAACCCTGAAGTTGAAGACAAGCATGGGAAACTGTAGTGCAAGGGGAACACAAGACGACGTGAGTCGTGCTTTTCCAAGAAAAACACAGGAGAGTCTCAAAGGGGGGAACAAGGGTTCTCTCAGGTCAGTTGTGTGGGTAGGAAGGTGTGAGGCCAAAAGGTAGAAAAGTTGGGTCAATGACAAAAAAGAACACAAAAACAAATCAGATTTTTTTTCAAGTTTTTCTTTAACAAATATGCTCTGTATTTATGTTGGTTTTAGCTGATTGGGTCCAGCGTCAGTTGCCAATGAGCTCGCTGCTCAACCTTCAAATACTTGTTCAGCATTTGCTGTAGCAGTTGCAACGTGCTTTTAGAAACCCTCCACCTTCCCCAGCTCCACCTGTATAGATCTGCTATGAGTAATTCATGTACAGCAGAGGCATGTCTTAATTGCTCACAGCAGTGTGTTGTGTATACACCCACCTAAAGGATTATTAGGAACACCTGTTAAATTTTTCATTAATGCAATTATCTAATCAACCAATCACATGGCAGTTGCTTCAATGCATTTAGGGGTGTGGTCCTGATCAAAACAATCTCCTGAACTTCAAACTGAATGTCAGTATGGGGAAAAAAAGGTTATTTAAGCAATTTTGAGCGTGGCATGGTCATTGGTTGAGTATTTCAAAATCTACTCAGTTACTGGGATTTTCACGCACAACCATTTCTAGGGTTTACAAAGAATGGTGTGAAAAGGGAAAAACATCCAGTATGCGGCAGTCCTGTGGGCGAAAATGCCTTGTTGATGCTAGAGGTCAGAGGAGAATGGGCCGACTGATTCAAGCTGATAGAAGAGCAACTTTGACTGAAATAACCACTCGTTACAACCGAGGTATGCGGCAAAGCATTTGTGAAGCCACAACAAGCACAACCTTGAGGCGGATGGGCTACAACAGCAGAAGACCCCACCGGGTACCACTCATCTCCACTTCAAATAGGAAAAAAGAGGCTACAATTTGCAAGAGCTCACCAAAATTGGACAGTTGAAGACTGGAAAAATGTTGCCTGGTCTGATAAGTCGATTTATATTGAGACATTCAGATGGTAGAGTCAGAATTTGGCGTAAACAGAATGAGAACATGGATCCATCATGCCTTGTTACCACTGAGCAGGCTGGTGGTGGTGGTGTAATGGTGTGGGGATGTTTTCTTGGCTAACTTTAGACCCCTTAGTGTCAATTGGGCATCATTTAAATGCCACGGCCTACCTGAGCATTGTTTCTGACCATGTCCATCCCTTTATGCATCCTCTGATGGCTACTTCCAGCAGTACTTCCGGTCAAACACAGTATTATGGTGTTCCTAATAATCTTTTAGGTGAGTGTATATTGGCAGTTTCAAGCCATTTTGCTCAGCAGCAGCAGCTTAGCAGGCATATTCTGATCTATTAAGACCATTATCAACGTTGTCATATCCATTACCATACCAAACACTCTGAGACTTGTCATGCTTAACATATTATTTTAAAAGACTTATTGACAATCGAGGAGCTGTATGTGTCCTCCTCTATGATATTATTTCCTTTTTTTCTGCATGCACCTCATGACTAAGTGTAGCAACCCTAGAGAAGTTTTCCATGTGAGATTTTGCATGTGCTCCATTTGTAACAGTAGGGCATATTGTGCCTGTGTCAAGGTGTGATTGAAACGGTTCATAAAGAAGAGGGTGTAATGAACCTACACTCTTTCAAGCCCGAAAGACAAGCCTATATGATTCTTGGAGTCTAGAAGCACACCACCATCCGCAATCATAACATGCTACTGCTGTCCTGGTCTGCTGGCTTTGTTTGAATAAGTTCAGTGTGGTCTGAAACAAGGCTTTGGTAGCACTGAACGTGGCTGGTGCAGGACCAGCTGCATATAGCTTGGAGAATCAATGTCAGCCTCTTCCACATACTCTCACTCAAGAGACATTATTCCAAAGGATACAATAACTCTCTGAAAGAGAATTGAGAAATTATAAAAAAAAAATTTAAAAAAAAAACAAAAGGATTTTTTCAGGAAATGTAATACACTAGATGATCACCTTTCCAAAATCTACTTTAAATTATCGAAATTAATCCAAGACTGCCATCTGGTGGCTGGTTACACTTCACTCACAGTAGTGAGGGTTGTGCCAGAGTGCTGTGAATATTCCTTTTTAATCAAAATCAGAGCATTAGAGTATGCATCATATAGGAAAGAATCATTTTTTTCTTTGGAATATTTTAGTCATCCCGTGTCAGGAAAGATGGCCCTTGTGATAGAGTACGCTTCGGCATTTCTTCCAGCAGATGCTCTCTGTCATTAAATAAAGCCTACGCAAGCCCTCCTTCAAAGGCTTAATGCCTTAAGCCTTCAAAGTTGGCGAGTACTTTTAATGACTAAAAAAAATCACCATGATCAAAGCAGCTTCAACCAAGTTGAGAGCTTCCGTATAGCTCAAAGGCATAATCCTATTCACTACTTAAGACAAAGCGAAAAAGAACAAAAGGAAGGAGTCCTCTTTTTGATTTCCAGGAGATAATGTAATTTCATGAGGGCTCTCCTGGATAAAATCTTGTGAAGACCAGACTAGTGGTTTCACTTTCTTTGTTAGTTGAACCAATGGCTGAAAAGTAGTTAAACAGTAATGTAAACCTATTGTAAAGAATTGAACAATTCTGGTTCCGGTACCTCTGCACAAATGGGAGTGGGTGGGTGCTAAACAGTTATTTTTGTGCAATTTGTTTGTCACAATACTATTAGATTATATAGCTTTTCTCAGTATTTTGGTACATTACCATAGGTGTGCATGTGCATACCAAATCCCAGAATTTTTGACCGCAGTGAGATCTCCATCATGCACTGATTTCTTTTTTAAACCAGCAATTCTGATTATTTACAAAAATATTTTAAAATAATGTGGGCTGATGGCTTCAGCAACAGCATATATCAACAATTAACACCCTTTATTGTTATAAATAACCCTCACACTCACAGTAGGTCTGTCTTTAAAGATTTCTAAGTTAGCTTTCTAAAGCAATTCCCCTATGGAGAAAATGAATGGAATTAGCCTACTTCCGAAACCCCTTTTGTTGCATTCAGTGACACCAATGTTCTGATGTGACGTAATAAGCATTTGGGATTTGAATTTCACTGGAACCATCAGTGGTTATTGTATTGCTATGGCAATGCACATTTGTTTTGTTAGTAATGGATTCAGATTCAAGCTATGGTTTTCAGAGGGATTTGTGGGTTGGGTTGAGCGCCGTGTAAAATGAGATACGAGAGACGATTAAGTGCTTGAATTTGGTTTATGAAAGCAGATGTCTGCTCCTCTCCTCTCTCCTAGATTTATTACATTATTTGCCTCTCTCTCTCTCTCTCTCTCTCTTTCTCTCTCATCTCTCTCTCTCTGATTCGTTTTATTCAGCATGTTCAAGGCAAACAAAGGCCAGCCAGCTAATAGAACCTCATTTACCCCTGAACTGAACTCAATGAATTGCAGGGCAGAGTGACCTGTTTCCTCGCTTTGTGGATTTTCCTTGAAGACGATTTGGCCTGTGCTTGGGCCATGGAGACAAATATAGTCTAATCTTTTAGTATGAGTAGGCCTAGAACAGTTGAGTTGTTCCGACCTCCATCTAAGCTGCCTGTTAAAAGTTGTGCTTTCCTGTGGGGGCCAAATCAGTAAATTCATTTTATGCTGTTAAAAAGGGAAATATGAATTATAACTAATTTTGGATCAGTTTATAGAATTTAGGCTACTTGATGTAGCTCAGTTAATGTTACAATTAAATAATCTGTTCAATCTATCCTGATCATAGGTTATATCAACTCTCAGAAAGGATATTTTCCATGGCCACAGAAAAAATAACTCTTTCTTAGCATGTAGCTGTGATCGCATCGTTAAAGTGACGTTGATTTACAGTCAGTGGCTAGAATCAACTCACATGAATGTGCACAAGTTTTATCTTACTAAATCACAAACAACTAATCTAAACAAACTCATAGGCCTACACACAAATCACGCATAACTTACACGTGTAAAATTATATGATTTAAAGGAGTAGTTCACTTTTCAAAAAAAAACTTTTGCTGATAACTCACCCCCATCATGTCATCCAAGGTGTCCATATCTTTCTTTCTTCAGTCGAAAAGAAATTAAGGTTTCTGATGAAAACATTCCAGTATTTTTCTCTATATAATGCACTTCACAAAATGAACGAATCTTTTCCCGAGTCAATTCGTTCATTTCATTAATGAACCAAATGACACGAAAAAAGATTCGTTCATTAGTTCCATTAGTAACTGGAGAGTCACGAACGCGCATCACAGAACAGAGCAAGGCGACCATTTGAGCTTAGAAAACTTAAACTTTGTTATTATTATTTTTTTTAATGAGTGATCGTTTCGCTTGATAAGACCCTTATTCATCGTCTGGAATTATTTAAAGCCCTTTGAACAGTTTGTAGTTTGCACTGAACGTGTCTTTTGGACATTGAACCGTTTGGTTACCAGTCAGTGAAGTGCATTATATGGAGAAAAATCCTGGAATGTTTTCATCAAAAACCTTCATTTCTTTTCGACTAAAGAAAGAAAGACATGGACATCGATGTGGATG